AAAATTTCAATTTATTTTTAGTTATTACATCTTTTAATCAGGAACAGTAAGAAAGAGAATAGGTTAGAATCCATCTGTACTGATCAAACTTTTCCTATTACAGAAAGGTTTATAGAAAAGACACTGCATTATTAAAAACAAGAAAGAAATTGGAAGCCAAAGAACTAATTTGAAATCCTGGGGTCTTCCTAATTGCTCTCCTTTAAGCAAATTCTTTAAATTTTCTAAATCTGTTTTCTTGTTTGTAATATACAATAACTGTCCTGTCCACCTTACAGAGTTCAATTCTGGCTCACTTTTATTTTCTTCATATATTTGGCACCTGAGAGATCTTTCTGAGTATCATGCTTTTAAATGCCATCTATACACTAACTTGAAGCTTTATTTCCCAGCTGTACTTCTCACTGTCTTCCAAATACTTATAGCTGATTCTATGGCCGACATCTCCATTTTGATATCTACTGGACATCTCAGACTTAACGAATTTCCAAATCAAATCCTTTGCCTTTCCTGTAATATTCCTTATTTTTAGTAAATATTAACTCCATTTGCTCAGACCAAAAACCTTTGAATCATCCTTGACTCCTGTCTTCTCACACCTCAAATCCATTGGCAGATCTTTTTGTTTCTACCTTCAAAACATATATGAAATCTGACAACTTCTCACCAACTTCATTTCTAAAGTTGGTTTTGTTACTAAGAAAAAAAGAAGTCTCAATCTAGGCCTCAAGAGAGGTTTCTTGGATCTTAGGCAGGAAGGAATTTAAGGCAAGTTACAAAGTGCTGTGAGAAGAGATAGTTTACTGAAAGCTACTCCATTACAGCATAGGGTATCCTCAGAAAGCAAAAGGAGGAGTGCACCGTTTTAAGTTTTTCTTATAAAGACAAAACTAAGCTGTCCCTATGTGCACATGGGCTGACAGCATGTCAAAATTTATTATTCTATTGATTTAAAGAAAAGGATCCTTGGCATTCTACTGTTTGAATACATCAAAGCATAACTACAATTATCTTGAAAGCATATATTGTTACGGGTATTGGGACATCTGGACTTTTTGCTTTTGTAGGGGTGTGTTTTTGTAGGTATCTTAGGCTGTTTCCTCAGCTATAAACATCTTATGACCATGGGTCATGATTGGCAAGGAATGTGCCTTGTTAGTCTTTTTTTCCTTTTTTTTTTTTTTCTTTTTTTTTTTTGAGATGGAGGTTTGCTCTTGTTGCCCAGGCTGGAATGCAATGGTGCGATCTCAGCTCACTGCAACCTGTGCCTCCCAGGTTCAAGTGATTCTCCTGCTTCCGTCTCCCCAATAGCTGGGATTACAGGTACACACCACCACGCCTGGCTAATTTTTTATGTTTTTAGTAGAGACAGGATTTCTTTCACCATATTGGCCAGGCTGGTCTTGAACTCCTGACCTCAGATGATCCACCTGCCTCGGCCTCTCATTGGTATTTTCATAGGGATTGCATTCAATCTGTAGATTGCTTTGGGTAGTATGGACATTCTAACAATATTGATTCTTCCAATTCATGAACATGGAATATCTTTCCATGTTTTTGTGTTTTCTTTGATTTCTTGCCTCAATGTTTTCTAGTTTCCATTATAAAGATCTTTCACTTCTTTGGTCAAGTGAATTTCTAAGTATTTTATTTTGTTTTCAGCTATTGTAAATGTGATTACTATCTTGATTTCTTTTTCAGATTGTTTACTGTTATCATATAGGAATGCTAATGATATTTGTATGTTGATTTTGTATACTGAAACTTTACTAAATTTATCAGTTCTAATAGTTTTTGGTGGAATCTTAAGGTTTTTGCAAATATAAGATTATATCATTGCAGACAAGGATAATTTGACTTCTCCTTCTCCAATTTGGATGCACTTTATTTATTTCTCTTATCTGATTTCTCTAACTAGGACTCCCAGTACTATGTTGAATAACAGTGGTGAAAGTAGGCATCTTTGCATGTTCCAGGTATTAGGGGAAAGGCTTTCAGTATTTTCCAATTTCATATGATACTAGCTATGGGTCTGCCATACATAGCTTTGATTATGTTGAGGTATGTTCCTTTTATATTCAGTTTTTTTAGGGTTTTTATCATGAAGGGAGGTTAAATTTTATCATTCTTTTTCAGTATTCATTGAAATGTGCATATAAATTTTGTCCTTCATTCTGTTGGTATGATGTATTACATTGGTTGATTTGCATATGTTGAACCATCCTTACATACCAGGGATAAATCCCACTTGGTGATGATGAATGACCTTTTTAATGTGTTGTCAAATTTGGGTTGTTAGTATTTTGTTGAGGATTTTTGCATCAATATTCATCAGTTATATTAGTCTGTAGTTTTCTTTTTTGATGTGTCTTTGTCTGGTTTTGGTATCAGGGTAATATTGTCTTTGGAGAATGAGTTTGAAAGTATTCCTGCTTCCTCTGTCTTTTTTTGGAATAGTTTGAGTAGAACTGACATCAGTTTTTCTTTAAATGGTTGGTAGGATTCAGCAGGGAAGCCATCAAATACTGGGCTTTTCCTTGGGCCTTTTTTTTTTTTTTTTTTGCTAAAAGACTTTATTACAGTTTCAATGTTGTTACTTGTTATTGATCTATTTAGGTTTTGAAGTTTCTCATGGTTAAATCTTGGTAGGTTATGTCTAGGATATCCGTTTCTTCTAGATTTTCCAATTTATTGACATATAGTTGCTCAAAGTAGCCACTAATGATGCTTTGAATTTCTGCAGTATCAGTTGTCATGTCTTTTTTTCATCTCTGATTTCACTTATTTAGGTCTTCTCTCTTTTTTTCCTTAGTCTGACAAAAGGTTTGCCAATTTTGTTTATCTTTTCAAAAAACCAACTTTTTGTTTCATTGATCTTTGCATTGTTTTCTTCATTTCAATTTCATTTATCTCTGCTCTAATCTTTATTATTTCTTCTAATTTTGGGTTTGGTTTGCACTCACTTTCTTAGATCTTAATTGACATATGTTTGTATAGTTTTCACAGTTTCTCTTGTTATTGATTTCCAGTTTTATTCCATTGTAGCAGAGAAGGTGCTTGATATTAATTCAAATTTTTGAATGTTTTAAGATTGGTTTTTTGATATAACATATGGTTTATCCTTGAGAATGATCCAAGTGCTGAGAAGAATGTGTATGCTACATCCATTGAACGAAATGTTCTATAAATATCTGTTGGGACCATTTGGTCTATAGTGCAAATTAATTTCAATATTTCTTTGTTGATTTTCTATCTGGAAAATCTGTCCAATGCTGAAAGTGGGGTGGTGAAATCTCCAGCTATTATTGTTTGGAGTCTATCACTCTCTTTAACTCTAATAATATTTGCTTCATATTAGGGTGCTCTTATTATTTTATAGTGACAATCTTTGTCCCTTTTTATAGTTTTTGTCTTGAAATCTATTCTGTCTGATGTAAGTATAGCTGCTCCAGCTGCTTTTTGCTTTCCATTGGCATGGAATATCCTTTTCCATCCCTTTATTTTCAGTCTATGTGTGTCTTTTAGGTGAAGTGTGTTTCTTATAAGTAACAGGTCATTGGGTCTTGTTTCTTTTTCATCCATTCAACCAATCTATGTCTTTCAGTTGGAAAGTTTAGTCCATTTACATTCAGTGTTATTCTTGATAAGTTAGTATTTACTTCTGCCATTTTGTTATTTGTTTTCTGGTTGTTTTGTGGTCTTCTCTTCCTTTATTTCTTTCTTCCTATTTTCCTTTTAGGGAAGGTGATTTTCTCTGGTGGTATGATTTAATTTCTTGCTTTTTAAATTTTGTGTACCTCTTGTATGTTTTTTTATTTGAGGTCACCATGAGGCTTTCAAATGCTATCTTATAACCCATTATTTTAAGCTGATAAAAACTTAACACTGCTTGCATAAACAAACTAACAAGAAAAAATAAAACTAACAAAAATTGTACACTTTAATTCATACCTCTGCTTTTTAACTTTTTGTTGCTTCTATTTATGTCTTCTTGGACAGTCTATATCTTGAAAAGTAGTTGTAGTTACTATTTTTGATTGGTTCATTATTTAGTTTTTCTACTTAAAAGTATTTTACACATCACAGTTATAGTATTATAATATTCTGTGTTTTTCTGTGTACTTACTACTGCCAGTGAGTTTTGTAGCTACAGATGATGTCTTATTGCCTATTCATGTTCTTTTTTTTCTGATTGAAGTACTCACTTTAGCATTTCTTGTAGGACAGGTCTGGTGTTGATGATATCCCTCAGCTTTCGTTTGTCTGGGAAAGTCTTTATTTCTTCTTCATGTTCAAAGGATATTTTCACTGACTATATTATTCTAGGGTAAAAGTTTTTTTTCCTTCAGCTCTTTAAATATGTCATATCAGTCTCTCTTGGCCTGTAAGGTTTCCACTGAAAAGTCTGCTACCAGAAATGTTGGAGCTTCATTATACATTGCTTCTTCTCTTTTGCTGCTTTTAGGATCCTTTCTTTATCTTTGACCTTTGGGAGTTTGACTATGAAATGCCTTGGAGGTTGTCTTCTTTGTGAAGACAAAAGATGCTTGATATTGGTGTTCTTGGTGTTCTATACCTTCTTGTACTTGGAAATTGATACCTTTTCTAAGTTTGGGAAGTTGTCTATTATTATCCCTTTGAATAAACTTTCTATCCCTATTTTTTCTCTACCTTCTCTTTAAGGCCAATGCCTCTTATATTTGCCCTTTAGAGGCTATTTTCTAAATCCTGTAAGCATGCTTCATCGATATTTTTTCCTTTGTCTCCTCTGACTGTGTATGTTTGAATAGCTTATCTTCAAGCTCACTAATTCTTCTGCTTGATCAGTTCTGCAAGTAGGAGATTCTGATGCATTCTTCAGTATTTCAGTTGCGTTTTTCAACTCCAGAATTTTTGTTTGATTCTTTTTAATTATTTCAATCTGTTAAATTTATCAGATAGAATTCTGAATTCCTTCCCTGTGTTATCTTTAATTTCTTTGAGTTTCTTAACACAGCTATTTTGAATTCTCTGTCTGAAAGTTCACATATCTGCTTCTCCAGGATTGGTCCCTGGTGCCTTAGTTTGTTTTGTGAGATCATGTTTCTTTCTGGACGGCAATGATGTTTGATGTTTATCAGTGTCCAGGCATCAAAGAGTTGGGTATTTACTGTAGTTTCACAGTCTGGGCTTATTTGTACCCATCCTTCTTGGCAAGGCTTTTCAGGTATTTGAAAGGAATTGGGTGTTGTGATATAAGTTGTATCTGCATTAGGGGGTATCCCATACCCAGTAATGCTGTGGTTCTTGCAGACTTGTAGAGGTACCACCTTGGTGGTCTTGCATAAGTTCCAGAATAACCATCTGTATTTCCAGGCAGAGGCTGATTCTTTTCAAAAACTGGGAAAAGAACAAATACAGTTATTTTCCCTAGCTTTCTCCCAAAGAAATGGGGTCGGTCTGTGCTGAGCCTCTTTGGGCTTGAGATGGGGTGACACAATAACCTTGTTTCCACCACTGAGACTGTGCTGCATCAGAATTGAAGCCAGCATAGCACTGCCTCACCCAAGGCCTGCTATTACCACTATCCCACTACCTGATTACTGCCTATGTTCGCTCAAGGTCCTGGCACTCTGCAATCAGCAGGTGGCAAAGCCAGCCAGGCTTATGTCCTTCCCTACAAAGTGGTGAGTTCCCCCAGGCCCTAGGCAGGTCCAGAGATGTCTTGGAGCTACACACTGGAGTCAAAACCTTAGAAGTGTACCTGGCGTTCTAGTCTACTGTGGCTGAGCTGGCCCTCAAACCATGAGATACGGTTCTTCCCCCTCTTCCCTCCCGTTTCCACAGGAAGAGGAGCCTCACTCCGTGGCCACCTCCACCATAGGTCTACCAGGAGTACTGCCAGGCTACCGCTGATACTCATTTAAGGCACAAGGGCTCTTCAGTCAGCTCGTGGTGAATGCTGCCAGGCCTGAAACATACCCTTCAGTGCAGTGGGCTCCCCTTTGGGCCTAGGGAAGGTACAGAAATGCCATTCAGTATCCAAGGCCTGGGATTGGGGACCCTAAAAGTCTGCCTAGTGCTCTACCCTCTATGGTCAAACTGGAACCTGAAAACAGCACATCTGAGCCTCACTCAAGACCAACCATGTACTACCTGGTAATTACCACTGGTTATTCAGGGCCCAAGGGCTCTTCAGTCAGCAGGTGATGGATCCTACCAAGACAGGATCTTCCCTTCAAGGCCATGGGTTCCCTTCTGGCCCACAGTGTGTCTAGAAATGTTGGTTCTGGAACTAAGGCCTAGAATAGGGGCCTAACGACTCTGACCTCTGCCCTATCCTACTATGGCTGAGCTGATATCCAAGATGTAAGACAAAAGTCTCTTTACCCTTTCCTCTCCCCTCCTCAAATGGAAGCAGGGGGTCTTTTTTGGAGCTGTGAGCTATGTTACCCTGGGTTGGGGGAAGGGTGGTACCAGCACTCCCTTAGCTGCTCCAGCTGGTGTGTCAGTAAGTCTCATTCTCCCCAAATCCGCTAGCTCTGAACCCAGCTCGGCACTAGGACTGGTAGCCCTTGTGGCCTAGAGTGCCTTTCAAGTTTATTTAGAGCCCCAGAGCACCTTATCCTGTAGTGGTGATACTTGCCAGATCTCACATTCTGACCACTGGGATGTGTGGTTTCCCTCTGGCTAGGGTTGGTCAGAATGCTCCCTCCATGAGTGGGCATCTGCTGAGTTCAGCCCAGTTTTGCTTTCTGCTGTAACAGGGCAGCACTGAGTTCAATGCAAAGCCTCGCAATCACTGTTCTCTCCCTCTCTCAAAAGCACAGATTATCTTTCTCCTGCTGTACGGGAATGAGACAGAGTGGCATCAGTGATTCAAGACTATCTTTCCTACTCCCTTCAGTGCTTATTTCAGTGATATGAAGTGAAACCAGCTACTGTGAGTGCTCGCCTGATTTTTGGCTCTTATGAAGATACTTTTTTTGTGTAGATACTTGTTGAATTTGGTGTTCCCATAGAATGGATGATTGGTAGGGCCTTCTAGCCCACCATTTGCTCCACTTCTCTCCTCCAAGGGTATCTCCTTTAATTACTTTTCATCAGTAATGGAAATGGGACCTCTTTTAATGATCAACCACTTTCTCTCTCTCTCTCTCTCTTTCGCCTGTGCTCTTTTCCTGCCTCCTTTCTCCCTTCCTCCCTCCTTCTCTTCCTTCTTCTTTCTTTTTCTATTTCCCTTTCTTGCTCTTTCCTTCCTTCTACTTCTTGCTTGCTAGAGGAATCCAAGTCCCATGACACTGTCCAGTTGAAGTATTCAGAGCTCCAGTTTGAAACAGCTGAGTCCTCTGAAGTTTTGAGATTGGGTGTCATAGAGATTTCTTGGAAAGGATGCCACAGCCATTATTTTCCATTTTAGCTTTGGAAGTTTTGGCTGCACAATGTCACTGAACACCAAGTTTAACCTTTCAGTGATATTTGATATCAGGATAAATGAAATTGTCTATACAGCTTAGGCTTCCCTAAAATAAACATGTTAAATAAATCTACCTAATATGTTAGATCTATTCAAGAAGTTTCATGGCTAACATAATGGGTTGGACGCAAAGTGTTCAATGTTCCAACCACACAATTTACTGTTATGATACAGTTGTTAAATAGGAGGATAGAATAAATCTGGCTAAATTGTGGTCAGAACAAGCTTTAAGTGGCTTTACATTGACCTGTGACCTAAAGTGAACCAGCATAACTTAGCCTGTGAACTCTTACACTTCACCAACTCAAGTGTGACTCCTCTTCTAGGAGCCTTATTGACCTCAGCTCATTCCCTCCTAGGCATGAGTTTGGGTCTCCTGTAAGAGTTACCTGCCCACCATGCTCATCATGTTGTGTATTGAAATGTTCTGTTCTTTGGTCTGTCTTCCCTAAAGCTCTTCAACTTTCAAGAAATGGATGTGTCCACATGTTTATATCCCTCATGCCTAACCCAGTATCACTGTGTGTCTTTCTTACAGGTATGTTTTTTTACGCACCTCCTAAACTTATGCACCTCCTAAACTCCATTGACTGGATGTGACATCCACATAACCATAGTAGAGCACTCTTTGAAATGAATAAAAAGGCCCAATGGTGTGCACCAAATGCTTTCACAATCCTTCTCCACTTGGAGAGGATGAAATGGAAAAAGTGAAGATTGGAGAAAAAGAAAAATGAAAACAAAGGTCAGAGTAAACAACCTGAAGAGCAATGACTTTTAAGACCTCCTGAACTTGCATTTAATGCTGACTCCGACCAATGATCCTTTTGGCTTTGAAAATGCCACAGGGTCTTTTCTTCCCGAGACCAGAGTGTTCTGAAATATTCTGCTGCTCACCACAGACAGGAGCACTAGAGTTGCTGCTTTGAACCCAAACTGAAATCTAAGTTAGAGAAGCCCCAGTAAGTGAGCTGACCCTGAGAATGCCTTTCCATAGGAAGTCTGATTTTTCAGAAAAGAAAGTGCTAAATATACCAAGTTACTAGAGTTCTCTGCCATCATAACAAACTAAAAGTTTCTTCTCTCTCTCCTTTTTCCTGTCTCTCTCTTGTTTGTGTGTGTGTGTGCGTTTGTGTGTGTGTGTGTGTGTGTGTGTGTTGAAAATCCAATTGGACACTCAATAGTTGTTGTATTAATCAGGGTTCTCTAGAGAAACAAAAGCAAAATTATATAGGGTGGAGGGCACATATTGGCATATTTTGGAAGACTGGCTCACAGGATTATGGAGCTGGCAAGTCTGGCCAGGAGTCTGGAGGCTCAGGTAAGAGTTGATGTTGCAGTCTTGATTCTAAATTGCCATCTTCTGTTCAGCTTGAGTAGGTGCTTGTTTGCTCTTTTGTCTTTTTTTCTCTTTGGCTCTGAGCTCACCCTTCTCTATCCAACAGTTTTCCATTTGCCTCCATCCAGTTACCCAAGGCTCTGTCCCATTAGGCCATTATTGCTCCTGACCCTGAGCCAGTGAAAGTTGGCCACATCCTGCGGATGAGACAGAGTCTGCCTCTTCCTCATTCCCTAAGAAGTGGGTCTGGGGCAGAATATGGGCACAGCTTTCACCTCCCTTTCATATGCTGTAAAGCAGCAAGGCCGGTCATAGCCACCCAGCTCACACAGAGCACTTTTATTTTCTTTGAACAAACAGGAATGGAACACACAGTCTTCTTGCCCATTTCTTCATCTGGACCTCTGCCTTGTTAGTTCTATGCTCCTGTGTCAGTTATATTTAGCTCAGCTTCAGTTCAAGACATCTCCAACTTGATTTTCTTTTTTTTTTTTTTCTTTCTTTTTTCTTTTTGAGACAGGGTCTCACTCTGTCAGCCAGGCTGCAGTACAGTGGCACGATCTCAGCTCATTGCACCTTCTGCCTCCAAAGTTCAAGTGATTCTCAAGCCTCAGCCTCCTGAGTAGCTGGGACCACAAGTGTGTGCCACCACTCCTGGCTAATTTTTGTATTTGTAATAGAGAAGTGGTTTTTCCATGTTGGGCAAGCTAGTCTCGAACTCCTGACCTCATGTGATCTGCCCCCTTCTGCCTCCCAAATACAACTTTATTTTCATTATGGCCATGACTTTAAATTTTTTCTCTTTGTAAATTTTATATATATATACACACACACATATATATGTATATATATATATAATATATAATTTTTTAAAATTTATTATTGCTTTGGTTTGAAGAAGAGGAAGGGGTCTCAAAATATATACCTACTGTACCACCTTGACTAATCAGCTCATGAAAAATTTATTAAAATGCCCATTTGGTCATTGTTTATTGTCCATCAGAGTTGGTTTGATTAATATCTTCCACTTATTAAGAAACAGAAGCCAGGTGCAGTGGCACATGCCTATAGCCCTAGACACTTGGGAGTCTTAGGTGGGAGGACCACTTAAGCCCAGGAGTTAGAGACCAGCCTAGGCAATATAGCCAGACCATGTCAAAAGGAAAGAGAGAGAGGGAGAAAGAGACAGAGAGAGAGTGACAGAGAGAGAAGGGAGGGAGGGAGGGAGGGAGGGAGGAAGGAAAGAAGGAAGGAAGGAAGGAAGGAAGGAAGGAAGGAAGGAAGGAAGGAAGGAAGGAAGGAAGGAAGGGAGGGAGGGAGGGAGGGAGGGAGGGAGGGAGGAAGAGAAACACATTTCTTGAAGTACTGAGAGTTTATTGAATGATACATGAGTAATTTAAGATAAAAAAAAACAGATGTAGTAATCAAATAGTCTTCCTGGAGAGCTGGATGCTGTTCCTGAAACTAAGAAGATGAGCATCCCAATGATAGGACTGTCATCCAACAGCTTTCTTCTCAGCTTCCTCCTTCCCATTTTCTCTGGCCATTCAAAATTGCCTCTCTCTGCTTGCTGCCCTACCTCATAGGTTCTGCCAATTCATAGCTTCTACTGCATCATTGCTTTCTGCTGATAGCCTCTTCTCCCTGTTTTATTCTACTATCTATTTTGGTCTTTCTTATCTTACATTTAAACTTCCCCAAAAATAAGATCTAATTGGTTTGTTAAAGTTAGCACCAAGAAGAACAGACTGCCTCTATTATACAGAGCTCCTTATTCAGGATAACATCCTAAGTCACTCAGCTTCCTTAAGTCCAGACATCATCCCCAAACCCATCAGTAGTAGCTAAATCTACAGGGTTTTATGACCCATCTCTTAGAAATCTAGATGCAAAAAACTTTTAAAAAAAATTTTTTTTCTAAGAAGTGGAGAATGGATGTGGCAGGCACTTGGAAAAGAATAAGCTATGCAGTGCAGAGCTGGTGTTAGTTCTTTCTGTCCCTAGCCCCAAGCATCTACAATTATGTTCATGGTAATTGATAGTTCTTCTCAAATGTCATTATAGGATTCCTTTTATCTATTAGTAAATCCTAATTTTGTGGGTAGTATTTTTTCTTGTGAAATTATACCCTTGGGAACTGCTGTATGTTTCTTAAGACTGCAAAACATACATAAGTGTTTCTCAAAATCATGAATACTTACTCCAGAGTGAGATGTAAGATTTGGAGAAAAATTGAGGGGGAAATTAAGGTAAAATTGTGCCTGGATATTTCTTCAAATACTCTGAACACTGATATTTTAAAGCAAATCTCATTTTCTTTATGCTATTTTACATTATCATCTCATTTTCTTATCTACTGAAAACTGCTTCTAGTCTTAAACTTAATAAAGCCCATCTAACAGCCATCTGTATTTTTAATGGACCTTCCCACCACAAGTGAACAGTTGCCCTAAATGTCATTTAGAAACTCTATGCTAGCAAATAAACAAATAGCCACAGCTGGGGGACTGTTTTCAATCCCTAATCAAAAGCCAAAGACTATTGAAGGCCATGCATGTGGCATTTAAATTCTGTTTTCTGATTAAATATGCCATGTGTGTAAAAGAAGGCAACATAATGTTGGTTACTCTGCTAGGAACTCCCTCTGTTTCCAAAATTATTTCTTTCCATTGTGGGGTAGTGATGGAAGCAAGTCCCATCTGTTCTCTCTAATGGGCTTCGGGAATCTTTAGTCTATATTCCATATCTGGCCATTGGCTTAAATTCATGTTTGTAAAATCCACATGGAACAAGGCCCAAAGGACCTGGGAAGCACTTAGAAGGCCTGACCATGCCACACAGGGAGAGAAGCATTTCTAGTAATATGGTGTGGAGGTATTAGGCCTGATTTTCCCATGAAAAATGACTAAAAGTTCTAGCGAAAACAAACAAAAAAACACATCATCTTAAAAGCATTGATGAGCTGCAAGATAATAAGACTGTCTGCGGCCAACGGCCAAAATCTAAGCAAAGCTGAAAGCTATAATAGGAACCCATGTGGTTTAGTCCTTTTGGCCTGAGGGCATTTGCCAAAGTGGGAACTGGAGTGGTGATTTTCATGTTCCAATTAGAACATGCAGAACACAGACAACGTGGGTGGTCTAATAATAGGCCTTCCCCCCATAAAGCTGGGACCCCAAAAGGTTCTACTTTCAGCTTAAGGATTAACTGGAAGAAAAAGTAACACCTCCCCATTACTAAAGACAGCAAGAAAATTGCTTAGTTGCTTTGGCAATAAGCGAAGCAGAAGAAAAGAAAAATAAAGAAGAAAGATAAATGGTAATGACAAGCTAATTTTTGTACTGAGTTTTTGCCCAAATTCAGATCAGCAAATTCACGCAGTGCATTCAGTATAGAGAGTGTCCAGACTAGGATGGCTCCCAAGAACCTGGCAACAGCAAACTCAAATCTTACCTGCAGGAATTTGCCTGCATTCTAGACCTCAAAATCTTCCTACAATTAATTCTTGAAAGAATAAGGAACCAACATTATTAACAATAACCAACATTTCAGAGTAAAAATTAAAAGCCAGGCTCGCAAATATCTACAAAGTAAAAGAAAGTAATGATCTTGTATTCTTATGCAGAAAGCAAATAAACTTTTAAAAATGAAAAATGTAATTACAAATGGAAATTTGGTAGATAGGTTTAATAGTGTATTAGACACAGAAGAGGGCACATGGAGATTAGAGTGAGTATGTCTGGAAAATTTCAGCCATTATCACTTCAAATATTGCCTGCTCCATTCTCTCTCCTTTCCTGGCACTCTAAATATTTCATTGTTAAAACTAACAAATATTCACTAACATCCAAATATTTTGAGTTCCAGATGGAGCAGAGAAAGGATGGAACACAGGCAACACTTTAAGTTTTTCCAGATATGGTGAAAGATCAAAGCGTAGTTTCAAGAAGTCAAATGAATCCAAGCAAGATAAATTAAAATAAATTGACACCTATATACAACAGAATGAAACTGAAAAACAAGAAAGACAAAGTCTAGCCTTAAGAGAAGCACAAAGATAAAAAGTAGAGGGACATGATTTAGACTGACAGATGACTTCTGAGCAGCAACAGTGGAAGCTAAAACAGAGTGGTGTGGTATCTTGATATAATTGAGTTTCCATTATTTAATTGCTTAATAAAAAGCCACCTCAAAATTTACTAGCTTAAAACAAAAATGATCATTCATTTTACTCAAGAATCTATGATTTGGGCAGGATGTGACAAGGATATTTCATCTCTGTCTCATGAAGTATCAAGTAAGGAGTCTCTACTGGGGATTGAAAGATCTACCTGCCACAAGGCAAGCAAATGCTTCTAATATGGGCCTCTTCACAGGATGCTTGGGCTTCCTTACAGTATGGTGTTTGGGTTCCAAGAGCTGGCACCACAAAAGAACAAACCAGAAGCATATGGCATTTTTACGACCTATCTCAGAAGAAGTTATTTAGTAACACTTTCACCATACTCTATTGGTCTAGCAAATTACAAACAGTGCTCAGATTCAAGGCAAGGAGACATGGCAAGTCTCCTTAAGAGTATGTAGGATGAGATATAATTTTTCAGACACCTTTGAACATGCAATCTGTCATAGTCCTCCATTCCATCACAAAATACACATCCCTCCCACATCAAAAATACACTTTCTTCCTCCGCCTGATGCAGGACAGGCAAGCCCCCAAATTGGGGCTTAACCTTGAAGGGTTCTTGGCTTCA